TCAAGGCCCTTGGTGGCTCAGCAATAGCTTTGCTGGCAGGCAATGAAGTGTCTTACAACCCTGCTTCTTCCTACCATCTCCTGCTCTGGTTTGCCAGGTTTGCTAGGCTTGGCTGTGGCTTCCCAGTGCTGCAGCCACCACAGGGACCTGGGCTCTCCTCTCCTCGCCTGACTGCAGGAGGCGGCCGTGTGCGTCTGTGTGAAACAGGCTGCCTCGCTCTTCGTGTTCCTGCTTTCCTTAGGCCTTGCTTGCTCACTTCTCGTCACCTCCCGTTGCCAGCCGGCATGCGTGGGGTGGCGGTGCTGCCTTAGGTCCCTGAACTCCATGCGGGAATGCCGTATTTCAGCGCAAGCTTGGCTGTTGGAAGTAGCAGCCATCATAAACACAGCTATTCCCCCCTTGCCCCAGCCCGCCATCTTACAGCAGTTGCTGTGTATTTATTTGCACGACACTGCTGCTGTCTCCCTCACCCCCAAGGCCCCCTTCGCATCACCAGGGGTGCACACAAGCACCCCCCTTCCCCCGGTGGGACTGGGATGTTCTTGCCCCGTTACTGACACCCAGCGGGTCCCTCACCAGCAGAGCAGCCGTGCTGGTGCAGCCTGTGCTTCCACAAAGGAATGTGGGAGACAAAACCCCAGGACCGTGTCCCCACACAGTGACCCAGTGGAGATTTAGGCGCTGCTGCTTGGGCATTAGCAGCAGGGGCCGACCGGGCCAGGGACAGCCCGCAGCTCTGCCTTGAGTTAGCGCAAGCACTGCAGCCCCCAACGACCAGCAGAGGAACAGCCACACACCGGGAGTTGTCTTGGTCCCCACTTGAAGTGGGGGCGGCTGGTTCTGCTGTTGTCTGTTTTGTTAAAAAAAAAAAAAAAGCCAGGCTTTTGTGACAATTTTTCTGTAAATAGCACCAATGGAACGTGATATAAACAAAGGGTTTGAGCAGCGAACCCCATGATCCTTGTCACTATTACATGAATAAATAGGAGAGGAAAAATCAGTTACATCAAAAGCCATATTTAAGTAAGTGTGGCAAAACTAACTTGGCCTACTTAATAAACTATTAAGGCAAAAGCTGGACAGCTCAGCACTTACGAAGTCGTCGTGTTGCAGCGACGCTGTCGTTGGGTACTGAGCAGCCGCGCTGGATGGAAGGTGGCCCCGTGTGGTAAAGTGAGTTCAGTTACATGAAGTGCGGCAGCGCAGTTGCTGCCCCTTTTAGCTTCGCAGTGTCTGTATTTGTGCAGCTCACCCCAGGCTGCTTACACGTGCGCCATCCTACCACAACATGTAGGAACACCACAGCCAAGCCGTACCGACGGGCACGCAGACTTCGGGGGGGGGGCTGCAGCAGCTGGAGTCTCTGCTTTTCATTTCCAAAGGTTACCAGCACAGCACTCGGCCCGAGCTGTGCGTCAGAGCTGTCATTTCAAGCCATTTGCAACACGCTGCTGCTGATTATTTAAATGTTAACTTCTTCGCTCCTCAAAACATGCAAGAAACGCAAGCGAGATCATAAACAATGCCGTAGAGCTTTGTAAGGCCTTTCTTGCCCACTTCCTTCCACAGAGACAGGCAAGAGCAGCTGAGGAAACTTCTGTAGTAGGGAAGAAGTAAATTAATTTCCATTGCAGTCTGCACTTACATGAGTTCTATGCTGTTGAATTGCTTACACTGCTTTGCTGTCTTCTTTTTTTTTTTAGCGGTGCACTGGAAGCTTACGTTCAATCAGTCAGAGCAAGAGAGGGGAAGGAGTTTGCGCCTGTCTACCCCATCATGGTTCAGCTGCTGCAGAAAGCGATGGCGACCCCTCAGTGAAGGGCTTTGGCCAACTCTCGCCACAGGGAACAGCCAGCGGTAACACAGCCACGGGGCGTCAGTGCCAGACACATCACATGGATGACACCCCAATGCCCAAGCTTTACAATGACATGTGTTTACCTACTTCATCTATGAAACTTCTGTCTTCTTGCTTTACATTTGCATTATAGGAACTTGTATAGCCATATTATAAAGAAATCGTACAGATTTTGTATGCTGCAAACCCACATCTAATAAAAATGAATTGTTCTTTAGTGTTCCTTTTGAATTTAGAAAGGTAGAACATACTCAAGTATTAGCGTATAATTGCTGAGTATCTCAAATGAGGAAGTAGCTCTTTTCCTACCAGTATTGTTTTGAACAGTTGGACACATTTTAGCTCTATTCAGAAAATCCTACTTTTGAAATGCTAGAATCATCAGTTTCCATCTAAAAATCACTAATTTTAACACAGGGAGAAATATTTATAAATAACATAGATGAGTCTCTCTCGCACCGCTCTCCACTTTGAATGATTTACATTGATTTCAATCTCTTTTTGTTTAAACTGCAATAAAGCACATCACTGGCTACTCCTTGCCCATTGCTGTCTGTAAAATTCTTCAGCAGCTTCCTCCCCAGGAAACCATGCAGAACATGCATTAATGATTAGTCATCTTCATTTTATAAAATAGGCAACACCAAATTTTAATGAATTTATTTGAAATAATATACAAGAATATAGTGTGCAAAAATCTTAGGGGCAACATCATGTAGACACGTGTCATGAACTGAAATTTACAGTTGTGATTCTTAAAAAAAAAACACACAGCTGTTTAGTACATGAAAAGCCACGATTGTAGAAGTTCACAGCAGAAGCGGTTGTAATCCTAACGCAGCTGCTCTAATTTTAGACAGTTGGAGGGAAAAAAAAAGTAAAGTGCAAGTGTTGCACGTATAGTTAAGTGCAAAGTTTGCCCCCACCATAAAGACGTCTTATGGCAAAATAAAATATTGTAGAATATGTGGCAAAGACAAAACACAGAGTTAAAACTATGATGGTGATGATATCAACAGCACCACTGTTCTTGAGATAACGCTATTTATTTGTTTCATCCTGGCCCGGGCCATGGTTGCTCTCACTGGTGCCAGCTGGTGCAAGAACATCTCACTTGTGGTGGATACA